AACATATGGCTTTTGTTTCATTCTTTTCTGTTTAACAAATGAGAAAAGTATTATGAACTTCGTTCGTTTCTTTGCCGATTTGCTTATCCTTATAGAAGTAGTTTGAGTTTTTTTTTATAGAATAAGCTATAGTTGGAGTGCAGAGTGATAGATTGAAATTGTTCAATGATCTGTGCAGTTATCCAACATTTTTCGAAAAATTTTTATATAAACATGCAGTTGATATGATAATTAGATGAAACTATTGGAAACCATCACTTTACGCTAAAACTGTTAAAACGGTGAAGAATAAAAGTTGTGATAGACCATTGGACGTCAAAAAAGCATTACTTATTGAATCAATTTCGGTTACTTGTGATTGACCTATTGCTACTGAAAAAAAAAGTATTGAAAAACTGAGAAAAAGAAGATTAAATAAGAGGGTTCTTAGAAAACAATTAATGAACTTTTTCAATTATAAACTATGCTGAACACAACGTTTCACTGAACAATCAAATACCGATCATTAGAAATGATTGACTGCTTAGTAAGAAAGCTCTTCAAACATAGATCATTGATAGTTCAAGAAAAGGGCAGAGACATATACTTAGGAACATACCTCTCATCTCAATTTTACAGACTACATTTTAGTGTCGTTCCAAGATGTGCTTGTCACTCAAAGACAAGGTTTGATAAGAAGAATTTGGATAATATCGTTCAAAAGCTCTTTCAATGTGAATTGTGAATAGATATTCTTTATTATTGTAAAAACCGTTTTATTAGACGAGAAATCGAGAGAGACTTTAAGGGTGTTATAGATATGATGTGACTTATTTTATGACTAAATCTCAGTGAACATTTCTGAGTATTGATTCTTCTAGGAATGCCTTCTCATCAGCTGAACACCCCATAAAATATTCATAAATCCAGAACGGGAATGACCTATCGAAAGGGAACATTTTGAACTTGTTTTAAGTCTCAATTGGTCCTACTGACCGACAAAAGATCACTTCGATAGACGAATTGATCAACTTTGTGAAAATACTGTATCGAGATCGTGCTATACTTCTTATGTCAGTGCCCATGAGGAATCGATTGGAATATTGTAAATAACTGCAAAGAACAAAGAAAATGAATCGTCATTATCGAAAGTAATCTTTGTTTTTCATATACGAGAAAGTACTTTCCGTAACTTAGTCTTCAAGCAAAGGGCCTTGTAATGATTCTTGTGTGTCGGCAATTATTTCTAATATCTGAAATGTTAAGCTTTCAAAGAGGAAGTTGCTTAACATGAAGTTCTAAGGAGATTTCCATGTTCTACTGAAACTCATTGTCTCTCTCTCTCTCTCTCGATTATGACATGTTTTTTAATGTTGTAAAACATATTTGAACATCTTACTATCATGAAAAATTTCAGCTCTCTCTAGTTCATGATGTAGTTGAGTTATAAGGGTTACAATGTACAAAAATCGTATTTTTTTTACAGATACGTGGAGAGCGTGACCTTGTTTTTTTTGAAATTTTTTTCGTTTGAATTCAAGTTAAATTCACTTTGTGGATGTGACTTCTTTTTGTAAGTTACGTTTCAAATCACTTAGAAGCAAATAGCTTATCTTTTTCTTCAGTGGAATCAAGGAAAACTTTAACCACTTTATCTTGTATTTATTCTTGAGAAGGTTAAAGTTTGTTTTTGTCTTTCGTCACTCATGAAACTTATCGAGTACGATTCAAGCGAGAATGAAAGATAAAAAACCTCATTCAATGCCGTTCATTTGACTTTTAGAATCCAAAGTACATGTTATTGTCATCTTTCTATTGTCAAAACAGCCTATTATCGTGGAAGTTACAGTGCTACTACAAAGTTATGAAACTCAAAAAGATTGATCTATTTCAATGGTATAGAATTGGTACCCAGTATTTTTTTTTGAAAAAAAATGTATGTGCAAACATATTGTCACTAGAATAATAGAAAAAAAGACGTTTTATGATAGACCATGCAAAGTCAAAAAGATATTATCTATTTCAATAGATTTTTGATACCTCCTATTTTTCTTTACTGAAGAATGGATATTCGAAAAACTCGTTTTTACAGACTACAATTTTTAAATCTTTGAAAGATGTATTTGTTACTTAAAGGCAAAGTTTAATAGAAAAAAGAATTTGGATTACACCATTAAAAAATTACTTTTGAACTGATTTGATAAATCGAGAATGGAGATGATCTATCGAGATGAATCCTTTTTTCAAGTTTTTATTAGTCTCTATGGGTACTACTGATCGACAAAATATCATTTGGATAGAACGAATTCATCAACTTTGTGAAAATACTCTATCGAGATCGTGCTATACTTCTTATGTCAGTGCCCATGAGGAATCGATTGGAATATTGTGAATAACTGCAATGAACAAAGAAAATGAATCGTCATTATCGAAAGTGATCTTTGTTTTTCATACACGAGAAAGTACTTTCCGTAACTTAGTCTTTAAGAAAAGGACTTTGTAAGAATTCTTTTGTGGGCGTGGGTGTTGATGTAAGTTCTTATCTTCTTCTACATTCACACCCACACACTTCTCTACATTTTTCTACGATGGACACCAATAACATATTAACATAGGCTACTGCCTTAAGTACTATTGATTAGAAAAGTTTTCGCTTCCAGTTTTCCAACTATTTAGTGGTATAAAACACAAGTGTTGAGGTTGAGTAGTTTGTTCTTTGGGAAGTATTTTTTTATTATGAATTGTACCGACCTTTTAGAGCCGGAATGAATTTTATTTTACAAGATCACTTTTCTTAGCAGTGATTTGTTTCCGTTTTTCAATTTGCATTGAAATATTATCTGTTTCTTGGCGATTGCATGGATGCATGGCAAGTAAAATAAACAGGTTTACCATTTATGTATTAGAGAGACAAAGCTTGAAATTACAAACTGTGATTCAAAGTTCCAAAGAAGATGAGTATCTGTAGAAATATGATGAGGGCTTCTCTATAGTTTGTGAACGATCCGACAGAACAGAAGACCGTGAATTTTTGTAACTTTTCGACACCTATAATTCTGTGAAAGCCGAGCTGACACGTTAGAGAGAAATATTAAGTATAAAATATGTTTGTGGTATAGATGCTATCCTTTATTATTTGATTTAGTCGTATTACAAATGCAAATGTTCAAAAAGAGAAATATTTGAAATCTAACTCATTCTCTCATAGTCGAGTACCTTGACATTCAGATAGCTGCACAGACAAGGTTACAGGATGATGTGTGTACCTTTGAATCATGCGATTAAATTAAATGAACTTACCTGGAGAAGGGCGAGAAGAAGGATGAGGAGGAGGTACCGGCAACGAATCTAAAATAATAAGAATGATAGATGTAGACGATTTGAAAAATCTTGCTCAAGTGTTCATCTGACTTTTCTGAAGCAATGCATGTATAAGATTAGATTGTGCTTCAAGACGACGGTCGCATACAAACTTAGCACATCCTAGTAGCTATTCTGAAATGCAGATTATCCAAGAGACAGAAGTTTGGATACATACGACTGCAGAAATATTGTTTCGAGCTATAATGAATACGGTAGAAATTGTCGATTATGACTCAAATGATCCATCATCTTGCTCACTTGATTACTTCACATATTTCACAAAAAGATTTTCAAAAAATAATGAGTAGTTTGACATTATAACATTGTTTCTATGAATATATACCTCGTTTTTATGTGTTTCCTTGTAAAGTTTCTTTGTACACTCTCATTAGATAGATTTTATTTGTAACAAATAAAGCTTCTCTAAGGGAAAAATACCTTTGAAATATCAACTATAGATAATAGTTCATAATTAGAATGTTAAAACTATTTCTATTTGAAGAGCTTAGGGATGTACGGTTTCGGTTTACTGATCACAGATTCACCGGTAGTGTCTGCACTGAAGCACTGCTACACTGCACCGACATTGCTGACACCGTTATTCACTGAAGCACTGAAGTGCACTGAACACTGACTAAACTGATTTCTGCGTGCAGTGTTACACTGGCACAACGATGCTTATTTACAGTGACTATCACTTATATACAGAGTATTATAACGTCGGTGTATCAGTGTAACACTGCACACCGAAATCAGTGTAGTCAGTTTTCAGTGCACTTCAGTGCTTCAGTAAATAACAGTGTCAGTTTCGTCACGGCGTTAGGGATGTCGGTGCAGTGTAGCAGTGCCTCAGTATAGACACTGTCGATGACGTTGGTACCAGTTTCTTCAGTTTTTACACTGTAACCGCACCTCCCTAGAAGAGCTTGTTATGCATTTACTTTTCACTGTCCCTAATAGAAGCTTACCAAAATAATTCATTATTAGCATTTCATAACACTGTGAAGGTTATGAACTCTTATTCTAAGCAATTAAAATTGTCTCTTTTACTTTGCACTAATGTTTTGAATACATTTGACTAGTTTAATGGTAGACTGTCGATAGTATGCACAAAGAAAGGTCTTTTCAATGATGTTAAACGTGGTGCAAACATCGATACATCGCTACATATCAATATAATAAACAATTAACTTAGTCTTTCAAGCAAACGAAGACTTTCAAATTATCGATGCATTTATGTTTCGCTCAACACCTGCACATGAAAATCGACTTCAGTTGATCATTTGACAATGGCAAAAGGTTTTTTCTTGATTTCCGTACAAAACTCAATTTAACCACGACAAGCTAAGTTTTAGAACAAATGTTTATGAGAAGGACACTTTCGATAAAACGAATGACTCACTCTTTCAAAAGAAGATATTGAACCTTTTGGACTACATTGAGTTCCCCGAATCCACTAGCTTCAATGAATTCCATCGACTTCTAATGACTTTTAATCATGGGAAGATAGTCAATTTATATTGAAGCTCTAGTCTCATTAACTCGAATCTCTCAGATTTGAAATGAAAATCGAATGGAATTGTATAGTATACTAAGCGTTTAATAAGGTTTTGGTGTCATGAGGAGCAGAAAGAGAACCTCAAGAGCAAGCGCCTACATTACCAACCTTTATTGAAATAAAACGGTTCCGTTAGACATAAATGTAGCCATGGTCGTTGTCTCTTCGATGATTTCTTTAATATTTCTTTCGTAACTTCCCCCATAACATCTTCAAGACGTAAATTTGGCTTTTCCAAATGGTTTAACAGTGATGAAGTAAAGAAACTATTTTCACCAATTTCACTACCAAAAGATACTGTGCCAGGATCAGATGAATATATCAAAGCAAATTGCGAGTCGTTTGGCATACGAACATCTGACGTCAATGCTTTACCAAATGCTGGTGTAAGACATGATTCTTCATTAGAAGCTTTCACTTTCCACGTATCATTGGCTTTATCAGCTCGGCAAGCATCCAAAATAATAATGTTTAAAAGATTATTACCAGAACGATTCAGATCCTTCAACATGGTATCCAAATTTATGCAATCGAATTCCGGATCGTGCAGCGGTTCGATTGGCAGTAAATAGTTCTTACCCTGAAAGGAATAAATGAGATAAATAGATAGATTTGTTGAAGGATGAAAAATGTGTGTGATTGTTCTCTCCATTCGCACTCCACGCTCTAGTAGTCATTAGTCAGGGAGCACGACGATTGTGTGTAAGACAATTGTGTGTACGACAATTGTGTGCAGACAATTGTGTGTATAGACAATTGTGAGAACGGACAATTGTGTGTAAGACAATTGTGTGTATGGACAATTGTGTGTAAGACAATTGTGTGCAAAATGAATGTGTGCCATGTATAAATAAATATTTTAGTCAAAAAAGTGAATNAAATATGTGAAAACAAGAAAAAAAAGAGGTTTCTTTTGGAATTTTCTTTGTTTTAATTCAAGTTGAATTCACTTTATGGGTGTGATTTTTGTTGTAAATTACATTTCAACTCATTTAGAAGAAAACAGCTCATCTGTTTTTTTTGGACTGTAATCAGTGAAAAATTTAACCACTTTATCTGGTATTTATTCTTGAGAAAGTTAAAGTTTGTTCTTATCTTTCATTACTCATAAAACTTATCGAGTACGATTCATGTGAGAATGAAAGATAACAAAAATGTCATTCAATTGTTTTTATTGGAGTTTTTGAATCAGAAGTACATGTTATTCTCATCTTTCTATTGTCAAAACAGCCTATTATCGTAGAAGTTATAGTACTGCTACGAAATTATGGAGCTCAAAAAGATTGAACTGTTTCAATTGTATAGAATAGGTACCCAGTATTTTTTGAAAAAAAAATGTATGTGTAAACATATTGTCACTAGAATAGTAGAAAAAAAAGAGGTTTTGTGGCAGACCATGCAAAGTCAAAAAGATATTATCTATTTCAATAGATTTCTAATACCTCGTATTTTTCTTTACTGAAGAATAGATATTCGAAAAACTCGTTTTTACAGACTACAACTTTCAAATCTTTGAAAGATGTATTTGTTACTTAAAGGCAAAACTTAATAGAAAAAAGAATTTGGACTACACCATTAAAAAAGTATTTTTGAACTGATTTGATAAATCGAGAATGGAGATGATCTATCGAGATGAATCCTTTTTTTAAGTTTTTATTAGTCTCGATGGATACCACTGATCGACAAAATATCATTTGGATAGAACGAATTCATCAACTTTGTGAGCTTCGTTTCTCATACACGAGAAAGTATATTCCGTAACTTAGTCTTTAAGAAAAGGACTTTGTAAGAATTCTTTTGTGTCGACAATGATTTCTACTATCTGAAATGTTAAGCTTTCAAAGAGGGAACTGCTTAACATGAAATTCTAAGGAGATTTCCATGTTCTTGAAACTCATTGTCTCTCTCTCTCTCTCTCTCTCTCTCGATTATGAGATGTGTTTTAATGTATTATACATATTTAAACGTCTTACTGTCGTGCAAAATTTCAGCTCTCTCTAGTTCATACTGTAGCTGAGTTATAAGAGTTATAATGTACAAAAATCATGTCTTTTAG